CCTCTACATTTTCTAAATATGCTCTTTGCTTCTTGCATACTCATTTCTTGGCAATTTTAAAGAAGGGGAAAAAATCTAGCAAATGGGTTATGGAAAACGGAAGGTGGGAAGAATTAAGAAGAGGAAGAGTGAGAGGCTAGTTAAGTCAATTAAAGAGGTGATCGTTTTTTGTTAACGAAAAAGAAGTGTCTGTTCAGTTTTTCTTAGTAGAACATTTTAGAAAATGAAAATTTTTGAGGGAAATGCCAAAAAAACAACAAAAAGAATAAATAGTAATGCTGGCCAATGGAAGGTGCCATATCACCTATCCTATCCCAGCTTTTATNTATCCTTATCGCAGATGTTTCACTTTTTTGTATAATACTTGGAATTAAATTGTCTACAAGTTTCATATAGCATTTTTATCCAATTAAATACAACTACAGTATTATATAACTTAAATATAATTTTCATACAAATTTTATACAATGCAACTTTTGTATATATTTTGTATATGATGTGTTCTTCTTATGCTCTCAAATTTCCAATCATAACTTCCTCTCTTAATTCAACTTTGATACATATCATCAACTTTATGTAAAAAGATTATATTTATAACTTAAATATAAATTTAATTTGATTCAAACATTATACAACTATTTTTCAACTTTCATACAACATTCAAATATAAAAAATATATAATCACAACAGAGTACAACTTAAATACAATTATAGTACAACTTTAATAAAATTTTAATACAATTTTGTATGCATATTGTATGTCATGTCTTCTTCTTCGACTTCGAGTTTCAATCTGAAATTCAGCAAAAATCAACTCTAATCTTCACCAAACACCCTCAAAATTGAGATATAAACTTCAAAGAATATTTTCAATCGTTCACCACCCAATCTAAACAAATAATATTTTTATAAACTCATATTCAAATTTAAAGTTTCGAAACTTTTCAATGACTAGCAATGTAAAATTTACTTTTAGTACTTTACTGTCAATCTGAATGCTTCATCTATTTTGAAACCAAAAAAATACATGGATGCTTCCTTAATACAAACTCGAGATTTCAAAGAGGACAAATAAGAAAATAACTCCAATATTAGTTTAATCTCCGAAAAGTTGCACTATTTTATGCTGAGATTCATTGCTCAATGGTGGCATATAGAAGGAATGTCACGACCCCAATTTTCCTACGCGGGATGTCATGATAGAACCTAATCTCTAAGACTAGATAAGCCTAACATTCATGCAGAAATAACTGAAATAATGATTAAAGTCTCAATAACTCAACAACTAATATAAAGGAACTCCGTAACTCAGTATATACAACTTCCCAAAATCCGGCGAATACAAGTCACAAGCTCTATAAGATGGTATTGAACATCCCTATACATCAGTGTCTATAAAAGGATAAGAAAATAAAATAGTCTAGATAAAAGGGGACTCCGAGGCCTGCGGACGCCGGCAGATATATCTTGAAGTCTCCGAACTGAGCTCACCTAACTGGTGCCTGGACTGGTAGGAGGTACCTGGATATGCATAAAAAGATGTGCAGAAATATAGCATGAGTACACCACAACGGTACACAGTAAGTGTCAAGCCTAACCTCGGTAGAATAGTGACGAGGTCAAGTCAAGGCCCTCCTGGAATAAATAAGAAAGAGAACGAGTAATTAACAGTGTAATAATAATAACAATGGAAATGAAACAAGTAAGAAAATATATCAAGAATAACTACACTGAACTAAGACAAATAATGCACCACGGAAACGAAACAACCAAACACAAGTGAAGTAATAGAGAAGTATCAACAAGAGTCACTACCGAGGTACCGCCTCGTAGTCTCAAATCACAAATAATTTACAATCTTTCCTTATATCACCGGGGAGCCTTGTATTTAGTTTTGAAAAATTATTTTTCCCGAAATTGCTTCCCGCGTTTGAGCCCACCTTATCTCACCGCATGTGTTTCAACCCCAAAACCTTATACCACCGCATGCGTATCAATATCACAATGCATCACAAATCGCACCTCAAGTGCCCAATATCACAAATTGCCAAAGAAATCAACTATAACGGTGTTTTCACAATAAATAGCTCATGACTCAACCACAATGTACACAAGAGTCTCAACAACAACAACTGGAAGTGAATAACTCAACGAGAATAGTATTTCACAACTTAACACTTTGCCTCAATGTGAATCACGACCTTTATAACTCAATACCAATTTTAACAACAAGATATTCCAAGAATAACAACTTCAAGTAAAGAATCCAACGGTTAAATAATGAATATGGAATAAAGGGAACAAGAACTTCAACTAAGCATGTAGAGCAATTAACAAGTAGAGCATGAAGGAATCTACAGAGCTAAACCCGGTAAATTTTTACATTTAGCCCGTGCACACACTCGTCATCTTGCGTACACGGCTTCCACACATCACAATTATCACAAAACAACACCAATCCTAAGGAGTAATTCCCCCACACAAAGTTAGGCAAGACACTTACCTCAAAACACATAACTCAATCCACTAGTAGGCATTTCCCTCGATTATCGAACTCCGAACGGCTCGAATCTAGCCAAAACAACTTCATACCATAAATATAAACTTTAGGAAACTATTTCGAACAATAAAGTTACGATCTTTGCAAAGAAATAAAAAGTCAACTCAAAAAGTCAACCTGGGCTTGCGTCTCGGAACTCGATCAAATTTACAAAATCCTAACATATTCGATAATGAGTCCAACCATACAAGAATTACTCAAATCCTACCTCAAATCGCCTTTCAAAACTTCAAATTTTAGTCTAGGAAGTTTTCACAATTTTTTCCCAAATTTCCAACTCAAAACACTAATTAAATGATGAAAACAACGATAGATTCGTGTAATATAACCAAAATCGAGTTACGATTTCTTACCCCAATGATTTCCTTTAAAAGCTCTCAAAAAATCACCACACACCGAGCTCTCTAGGTCTAAATTATGAACAATGATATGAAACCCTCTTTTTGAAAACATAAATTCTGCCCAGGTGTTCTTCTTCGCGATCGCGAAGCACAAATTCACAGGCGGCCAAATTATCTCTCTGCAAACGCGGAACTCCACACGCGAACGTGACTCACAGACTCCACAAGCTACGCAATCGCGAAGAACAAAACGTGTGGACCCCCAGTCTCCTCATTTCTTCTTCGCGAACGCGACCCAACATACGCATTCGCGATTCATTAAATGCCAAAGCTCCGCGATCGCAGACTCCTTCTCACGATCGCATAGAACAATGTTCCACCATTCGCCAACAGCCCTTCGGATCGCGATAACCCACTCGCGATCGCGTATAAGGAAACCAACAACAAAAAATCAGCAGTTCTTCAAGGTTCCAAAGTACGCCGAACATGATCCGAATTACACCTGAGGCCCCAGGGACCTCAACCAAACATACTAACAAGTCCTAAAACATCATACGAACAAGCTCGAAGTGTCAAATCATATCAAACAATACTAAAACCACGAATCATGCATCGATTCAAGCCTAATGAACTTATGAACTTTCGAATTCCAAAACTAATGTTGATTTATACCAAAACAACTCCGATTGACTTCAAATTTTGCACACAAATCATAAACGGCATGACAGACCCATTTCAACTTCCGAAATCGGAATTCGGCCCTGATATCAATAAAGTCAACTCCCGTTCAAACTTTCCAACCTTCCAAACCTTCAACTTTCTAACTTTTGCCAATTCAAGCTGAAACGACCTACGGACCTCCAAATCAACATCCGGACACGCTCCTAAATCTAAAATCACAATACGAAACTATTGAAACCGTCAAAACTCCATTCATGAGTCATCTACACAAAAGTCAAACTACGGTCAACTCTATCAACTTAAAGCTCCAACTTAGGAATTATGTGTCTCATTTCACTCTGAAACTCACACGAAACAAAACCAAACACCCCCGGCAAGTCACATAACCATAATACAACATAAAGGAGGCAATAAATAGGGAATTGGGGCTAAAATACTCAAAACGACCAGCCGGGTCGTTGCAGAAAATCGAAGAGAATGGTTATAGAAGAGTATTTTCGGATTTGAAAATGACAGAGAGAGAGAGAGAGAGAGAGAGAGAGAGAGAGAGAGAGAGAGAGAGAGATCGAACATAGAGAGAGCGCGAAGAGGGAATAACTGATATTCCTCATTCAATTCCTAATATAAAAGGATACTCATTAATACTATTTTGTATATAATTGGTAAATTGTATATCAACTTATAATTAAGTTAAAATCTAAACAGTGAGGGTAAATAAGTTTCTAATGTAATACATATAGGTAAAAAAAACCTTTTAAAAATCCGAAGACTCAAAAAATCAAATTTCCGTTGAAAATGTGAATTAATTTTTACTTTAATTCACCGATCTGAAGGATAGGATACAAAATAATTGAAATAGCTGTATATGCAACCTCACTGAAGAAAACAAATCATCTTAATATCTTATCGAGAAGCAAGAGTCCCAGAAAAATACCAAGAATTAATGACAAATGAAAAAAAAGAAAGAATGCATGTTAAATGATAACACATTAAGAACAAATTACTTTGGTGGCAATATGCATCTACTCTTGCATTCTTCGATCGGAAACAATCCCATGCTTTAAGGAACGAACTTCTGAGAAACCCAAAGTAATCATTATAAGTACATTTTACGATTAAAGAAACAAGCTTATGATAAAGCATCCTGAACAAATTTTCCCAGTAAATCTTCACAAAAAACTACATAAGAGTAAAGACGTAATTCAGCTAACATTATATTTGTTTGTTAACCTTCACCAAGAGATTCTTATAGTCCGAAGAAAATAGGAAAGATACAGATCTTCTGGCTTACTTTTAGTTTCCTTAACCATACACTAATCTGTCATCCTAGCCTTTTAAGTGCTACTTCTGATTGTCGGAGCTGCGGCATGCAAACTAATGGCACACTAGAAATCTAAAAAACACCAAACGAGTACCAATAAAAACCAAAGCAAAATAGAAATCTAGAACACACCATACAAGTATCAGGAAAACACATATTACACCTTCCAAGACTAGCAAAAGATTAGGGAGAAAGAAGACACCATTCTTCCCTGGTGAAGTCCAGGCAGTTGTATAAATCTGAAGTGTCTTGAGGAAGCACCAGTGCAGGACAAAGAGTTGAATCCACACAATCAAGGCTTCATTTAATTAAACAGACAGGAAACTATAATCCATGTTATGATAACTGATGCGTTCAGCTATGACAACTCACACTTGACCAACATGGAATGTAGGATGATTAACATCCCAAAGAACTTCTAAGACAAAGAAGTACAAATCTTAATTCAGTGACATTTCAACTAGACCCAGGGTCAAGGACAGGTAGTCGGCAGTGTAGACTAATTGCCTTATCTGTTTGATGTGTCCCTGGAATGAAGAACTGAAATATGACTGTTAGGCACGCACCCTGCTGAGCGATACCATAGAAAGCACAATCGGGCTTTGCCAAGTGACACTGAAGACTCTTGAAGAAATGCTTTACACTCACTTGAACCATCATTGCATCTCCTCTCTGAAGTGCTATTCTTGTTCTTGACTGAGCACTCAAATTTTGGTCACCTGTTGGGCTCTCTGCTTGTTCTCCAATAACTAACAGCTTCCGGAACTCAGCACCAAGTGTAGTCAGGGTAGTAGAAACTTGCAGATGGAGATCACCATACTTACTTATAGAAACATTAAGCACATCACCAACATTTTTCATTCGATCCACGAAGTTCTGTAACTGGTGCATATCTGGGACTCGTATAAGTGTCTGAGGCAAATCTTGAGCCATATCAAGGGCTGCTTGTAATTCAAGTACATCAGACCTTGACAAGGGCTTAGAGATGGGCACATCTTGAATAACAGCAGACCTGTAACCTTTTGCCTCTAAAGTGAGAAAAGGCATAGGTTGTTGAGAATGAGGAGGGAGCTTCTTTACCAGCTTGATCTGGAGGCGGTTAGGGGCACTGTCTCCGACGGGATCTCCACCGTGACTAGCACTGAACTCGGTGTAAATACTAATGATACTACGAAGGGCACGGTGCAGAAGAGAAAGATCAATAGTGAAAGATATCCGATCATCATTTTGGCTAGAGATGCGATACTCATCAAACAGTGCCTCAATGCGGAATTGAGCAATGGATTGGATGCCATCACCATTGAGGAGGTTATGGAGAAAATATACATGGTCTCTCGTAAGGTAGAGGTAGCAGATCTTTCCCATTTTGTCAAGAGCTGGAAGGAACCTCTTATCCAGGAGGTTGACACCATTGTCTGTTAGAAATGCCCTGAACTTCATTTTGTTCAATATTCTACAAGGAAATGTGTACCCCCGAGATTACTGCAAGACCAAGTGATCTCTTCAGTATTTATGAAAATATCAGGGGATTCAGAATAAACGACATATGCAACTAGAGAGGTTCTTAGCTGACCTGGACTAGCTTGAGTTTGAGTCTTGGAGGAATAGTTCATAGATATGCAAATAGAGCTTTTATGCCTACTGAACTCAGACAGTCATAATATCACTCAGTATACGTGCAGTAAAATAAATTAACCAGCAACGCGAGTGTAAAATACTCCAGACCAGTAGTAAGAACTAGAGATACAGACCAAACTGCACAAGCTACAGTGCATGCGAAAATCAATAATCTAGGAGCCCTAGAATTCAATTACGACCTCAGAGATGCAAGCTAGATAAAAATACGGATGTAAATAGATATACGGGACTCTATATACATGCTAATGTTCTATATTGACCATTCAACTATCGATTTCAAAAGTAAATAAATAGGAAACCACTGTATCAGTCCGGGGAAACGTCGATTAGCAAGTAATCGATTGCAAATACCAGCAAAAGTGAAAACTAAAATAGATGAAATATGACGGAACATCGATCAACGATTAGGTTTCATTCCGAGAGAGCAGAAACATACCAGTTCGTCGAGGAATTGCTAGGCCAGTTAGGGTTTATAGCTCTTTCCTTTTCACATATGGCGGGAGAAATGAAGCGGGGAAATGAGGACCCGTTTCTGATTTTCCCTGTTCAGAAGAGAAATGGTAAAAGTGTTCTTATCCCCCTTAAACTTTGACTAGATGATAAATTAGCCCTTCAACATTTTTAAGTATAAAGATGACCATTCTGTTTTTTATATGACACTTTTTGTTTGAAACTAGTTTCTCCGTACCCGCGTTACTAGTATACCCCATATTAATATAATGTATATATCTTTTAAAATATATTTACAATAACAGTAACCCACTAAAATCTCACAAGTAGGGTTTGGGGAGGGTAGTGTATACGCAGACCTTACCCCTATCTCGAGGGAATAGAGAGGCTGTTTTTGATAGACTCTCGGCTCAAGAAGACGAAATCATTTAAAATATGTTTGAGTAAAAAAAATTAATTAAAAAATATATAGTATATTATTGAAAATAATAAATATTGATCATATTTAGCTAACTTGAAGAACAAACTCATAAATATTGTAGAAAAACGGCTCCACAAGAGTAGAACAATGTATTGACTTGTATTCACAGTGATTGCATTAGTATTTCACCCCTTCAATATATGGGATTACTTTTTAGTAAACTTGAAAATGCTAGGTTATATGTCACAAGCATTCATAGGTCTAAGAGATAGACCAATAATTTTAATATATGAGGAATATCACATTTATGACAACATGGAATGGTAAATCTAAAATTTCACCGGTTATAGCAACAATAACAAAAGTTATATCTATTTTTAATAGATATAAAATATATAATTATCTTATGATCAAGTCGAAAATAATATTTTGCACTCATGGATGGAAAATATCACACATTTACTGATAAGACCACATATTTTTTAAGTATATTTTATGAAGAACAAACATGAATTGACATGTAGTTATTATATTATTTTAAATAGTATTGGGAGATTAAAAATTTTAACCATACTATTTTACGCCAATATAATAATATAGGTTACTTGTTAAAAGTTTCATTGAATAAGTAATAGTTACCTTACAAAATAAATTAATAGTATCTTTATGAAAAGATAAAATAATTGGCAATTTCTTCTACTTAAATAAACTCATGACGATTCGAGTTATATCTTGTTTTGTGCGAGTCTCTTCGACTGAAAAATAAAAGTCTCTTCGATTCAAACTTAGTGTTAATATTTTCTTTCGAGCTTTAGCGTGGGCATATTTTCTAAGTCCATCGACAAACACTTAAGATGATAGTAATTAAGAGATGAATATTTCCTGAGGTCTTACTTCTTAAATGCATATAGTGTAACGACCCGACCGGTCGTTTTGAGAATTTGCACTTCGCTCGGTAGTTTGGGGGCATGAGTAGATCCATATGATGTATTATGACTCGTGTGAATCGTCGGTTTTAGTTTTTTTTAGGTTAATCGGAATTGATTTGGAAGAATGATTCTCAATTAGGAAGTTTTAAATTGAAAGAGTTGACTAAGCTTGACTTTTTAGTATTTGACCTCGGATTGGAGTTTTGATAGTTCCGTTAGGTCCGGATGGTGATTTTAGACTCGGGCGTATGCCCGAATTTGCATTTGGATGTTTCTAGAAAGTTTCGGCACTAATTGACACTAATTGGAAATTTGAAGGTTTGAAAAGTTTATAAGTTTGACCGAGAGTTGACTTTGTAGATATCAGGTCCGGATTGTGGTTCCGGGAATTGGAATAACTTTGTTATGTCATTTGGGACTCTTATGCAAATTTTGGGTTCATTTCTGATTGATTTGCTATATTTCGATACGAGTTTTGGAAGTTCAAAAGTTCAAAGTTCTTCAGGTTCGAATTGAGGTGCGATTCATCGTTTCGATGTTGTTAGGTATGATTTGCGGCCTCGAGTAGGTCCGTGTTATGTTATGAGACTTGTCGATATATTTGGACGGGTCTCGAGTGGCTCGGGTGAGTTTCAGACGAGGTTCAGACCATTTCTCATTCTTATTTGGTTGCTGGTGTTGTTACTGGTGTTGCGCACCTGCAGTTGAAATTGCGCAGGTGCGATGGTCGCAAAAGCAACAATGCAGTCACAGAAGCAGAGAATTTGGCGCAGGTGCGGATGCGCAGAACCAGAGAATTTGGCGCAGGTGCGGATGCGCAGGTACGTCGAGTGGAAGCGCAGGTACGAGGGTCTTCGCAAAAGCGAAGTTTAATACCGCAAGTGCGAGGGGTTGCTGAGTAAGGCTGTTGAAGTTTTTCACCGCAGAAGCGAAGGTCGCAGGTGCGACCTACTATCCACAAATGCAGAAAACGCTAGGCAGAATGCTTTAAGTTCGAGGGTTGGCCATGTTTATCACATATTGAGGTATGGACTTCGGAATAGAACGATTTTGGAGGCAAATTTCACAACAAGGATTGGATTTCGAGCCGTTCGGAGGTCGGAACGCGCATGATGGTATTTTTGGAGCATCGTTTGGCTTGCTCGGTATTGGAATTAGCTCATTCGAGGTAAGTAACACTTCTAAACTTGGTACTGAGGGTATAAAACCCTGGATTACGTGTTATGCGTTTGGTGTTGAGGTAACGCACATACCAGGTGACGGGCGTGTGGGCATGCACTATGTGAACTGTGGCTCTGTTATTCCTGTGTTACTGTGTAGTTACCTGATATTTATCTGTAATCATGAAATCTCTAGGTACTAGAGCTATTGAGGTGTGATCCATGTTAGAAACCATGTCTAGGCTACATGCTTATTCTGTTGGGACCCACCAAGGTCATATTAATATTGAATTATTTATTTAAACTGTAATTTCATACTCAGTCATGTTCATTCATTTCATATCATATCCCAGTCTCTGTTACTATTTATTGACACATCATATCATCATTTTGGGCTAGTTACATGGCATTGTGAGCCCGAGAGACTGGAGAGATTGATGAATGAGTGAGGTCGATGGCCTGAGCTATGAGTGATATATGTATATATGTAGATCGGGTTGCACGCCGCAACGAGCCTTATGGCTGTACATATGTGTATCAGATTGCATGTCGCAACGAGCCTTATGGCTGTAGATATGTGGATCGGGTTGCACGCCGCAACGAGTATCATTGATTTATACCATGATTGACTTTATATAGCGCTCGGGCCGAAGAAGCCCCTCCGGAGTCTACACACACCCCAGTGAGCGCGGTTGATTTATATTGAGGGATGGATCTTCCCTGGACATGGATCTTGTCCAAAGTATTTATATTTGGGGATGGATCTTCCCCGGGATGGATTGACCTTATACAGTACTGAGTGACTGACTGACAGTTGCTATGTATATATGCGGTATGGATCTTCCCTAGGTTGAATTGACCATATACAATACTGAGTGACTAAGCATGTCTAGTGATTGAGCATGATGAGTGAAAAGTGTGAGACAGAGAGATTGAGTACTCTAAGAGTGTGAGTACATGAGTTCATCTGTGAGATGCATTGCATTGACATGCACACATGACATACAGACATAGAGATGCAGTTTTTCTCATGTTGTACGGTATCACGTCATTCATGACTTCTCACACATATTGACGTATGGGCATAGTGATGTATTTTACACTTGCTATCTGAAAAGAAAAATGAGACATCTTATTTATTGTTGAAAGATATTTTTTGGGAAAAATTACTATTTTCAAACTTACTCATATTTTCGACGATTTCGGTAAAGGATTTGGGTTTTCACTGATATACTTGGAAAGTGAAATTATTTTTCGGGAAACTATGAATAAGCTGAGCATTTTATCTCTGAATTACTTCTTTTATTACTTGCTTTACGTTGTTGTGAACTGTTGTTGGTTATTGGTGTTGGACTCGACCTTTGTTCCAACTCGTCACTAGTTTCAACCTAAGGTTAGGTTTGTTACTTATTGAGTACACGAGGTCGGTTGTATTCATACTACACAATCTACACTTCTGCACCTTGCGTGCAGATGTTGATTGCTGATGTTGTTGTGATCGACGAGAGCTGGATTTGAAGATGTACCTGCGTTCCGGTCGTAGCTGCCTCTTGGTAGCCTTAGATTCATAACAATCTGTTTATGTACATTTCGAACAGATGATGTATTTATTTCATACCAACTTTGTAAATTCTAATCTTAGAAGCTCATGATTTGTACTACCAGTCCTTGGGGGAACATATAAGATTCAGATGTTTTCTTTCATTTAATTGTCTTATTAATTTTATTGGAATTGAATTGTTAATTGGCTTACCTAGCGGGTTAGGTTAGGTGTCATCACGACTAGTTGGATTTTGGTTGGTGACATGTAGCAAGATCAATAACAACCTCGTGTAATGCTATATTCGTCTATCTCCAGTAAAAACTATACAAAACCCTTCTGTAATGCTTGAACTAACAAGGGTTCATCATATAGTGGTTGGAACAGATATGATTGTTCCAAACTTGTTCATTTTGGTGGAATTTTCCAAGTGCTGGAATTTTCTAGTGCCGAAATTTCTCTAAGTGTTGTAAACTTTTTGACATTGAAATTAAAAATTTCTTGAAATTGCATAATAATTTAATATTTATAAAATAACTATCACACCTTTTAATGAAAGATGCATCCCTTAGTAATGGATGACAACTTTTCTAATATTTGGTAGTTTTTTATTTAATTATTAATGTTATTAAATACAAAACTATATGTATTTTAGTCTTTCAACTTTCTAGTTTAGAGCTTTCCACTTTTAAATTAGTATAGATAGATAGATATATATAAGAGGCACTAATATAATGTGTAATATACCCGTATACAATAGTTGAGGAGCTTTTATTAGTATTTTTCATTTTCAAAGTGCATTATAGCCTATAGGTGGTCAATAGCCTAAACACAGCAAAAAGGAAACTAAACAAACACAAAAAAGACTTCCTTTTCTTTTCAAACTCTGGGAGAACATAGAACTGGTCGGATAAGAAAATACAATACATG